GTGTGTAGAAATGAAAGAAGATTGTTAAGCAGAGATGGAAAAACAGAAGTGGCCAAAATCTTGGACCTGAGGAATTTTCTCAGTCAGTTTTAGGAAGGAGGTTGAGGATCTGGAAACAGATTTCTGCAAACATACTGTTCCTGCCTTTGCCTTAGGGGTATGCAATCCCTACTTTATAGATCATTGGTCTAGAAAAAAAAATGTCATTTAAGACATATTAAATGATAAAACTCAATTCCACTAAAAATAAAAATGTATTGCATCTGAGAACCATTATGTGGAGCAATGTAGTAAAAAAAAACCGGAAAAAATCCTAAATCTTAATTTAATGTAAAGCAAATTTGAAAAGCAACAAATGATGAGTAAATACCTTTAGGAAAGTTATTATCTATACTACATATAACATGCTTCCTACTAAATTTCAATGGCTATTTGTTTTTACCTACTTACATATTAAACAATTGGTATCATAACATTGGCATCAGAATTCCTCATAGAAAAAACTGCTCTTTGTGATAAAATACATTAAAAAGCCACTTGGGGTATAATAGACTCTTGGTCATAAATTTTAGCAGGTGCCCAAGTATCAGAAGAAAATGTCTCCTCTCTATCAGTCAATATGAGAAAAATTCTTTGTTTTACACCTGGAAGAGAAGCAGGAAAATGAGTGACAGAAGGAATGGAGTAAAGGCGGAATGGTGTCGTAAAGATAAGAACTAAGTGACATTTTAAGAATGGTGATGCCTACCATTTGATTTGAAGTTGTTTGTGTCGCTCATACGTGAACCTCTTCTAAATCTTCTATTATGAAAATCTTTAATGAAGTCTACTATGCTCTAAAGCAACCTGCATGGTGGTATTTTTTATGGAGGTCAAAAAAAGGGCTGTCTCAAGGATCAGTGCAAAGCAGAACAACTTTGTGCACTAGAGGAGAGTCTGATTAATGCCAAGATAGCAAGGAGGTTTCAGGGAAGCATATTCATAGGGGAGACCACCATTTAACAGGAAAGGTAATAATATGGACATTTTTAAGTGGTTAGAAGAAATACCAAGAGACTTTAATGGCACTGAAGATGAGACCCCTAAGGCACATGATCAAGTACCATACCAATACTCAGTTATTGAGGGTAGGTTCATGTTTCATTTTGCTGTGGTATGTGTAAGTTAATATAAATAACAAGTATATACATATAAAATGTTCCTCATCAGTTATGCTAACCTCATTTTGTTGAATTTATAATTTTGTTTGAATTGTTTTTATTGTAAACACTGCTTATCATGGAGCAAAATGAGAATAGATATTTTGTGGACATTCTGTTAAGAAAATAAATATTTTGATTCTTTAAATAATTATAGCTTATAGGTCATTAATTATGTGTCCTATTCTTCTCATAATATGCCTATTTTGAATTCTGAGTGATAGGACATTGTATTATAAAATTTTCAAGCGTTGATAGGACAATTCTTCATGAAGTAGATCTAATAAGCACATTTCAAAACACTAAAGGAATAATTTTCCTGGAGTATTCTAATACAATTTACAATCATATTTATTGAGTTTATATGATGTGTTAAAGTTTACTGGTAAGAGATTTAAAAGAGGTCTTTATAGATGCCCCTTTAATTTAGCTAGGGGACAAGAAACAAGGACATAAAAAAATTAAAGGACAGAGGACATGATGTGAAATGTGCCATTAAATAATAGAGATAAAATTGTGAACAAGTGACCAGGAAGAACTATAATTAGGGAGGATCTTAGAGCTTATTTAAGACAACCTTCTATTTTCTTTTTTTTTTTTTTCAAGATTTAGATCAATCTCCTACTTGACAGATATGGCAACCAAACTCCAATATGTTTTATGTGACACACCTAGGTCACAAGCTTGGCAAGAAGGAAAGATGTGATACAAACCACCCCAGTCCTCAGTAGCCAGTGTCCTACGTTGTATACCATCGTGCCTCAGCTCCTTTTTTCCCTGACCCTATTACCAGTTGAGATATAGTTGCCACATCACTGACAACTTGGGGAGTTGTAAGCTGTGGTTTTGGATTAAACAAAACAAACATACTAATAGTAGCCCTCTCTAAGAAAAACAGCACAAAATCAGAAGTACGCAATGAAGTACAGGGTCTTAGAGAATCTTTTTCAAGTGAAAGTCCTGGAGCTTAAGCTTTGCTAGTTTAATGAAAAACCTGCCTAATTCTTTTGCATTTAGCTTAATTTACTTCCCACTGTTCTAGCCAAACTGACCCACTGCTGATTCTCTGAACTGTACATATTGTTTGCTGGGGAAAACTTTCATCCTGCCTGTTGTAAAAGTCTTACCCAACCTTCAGGAACCAGATACCTCTCCCACCATGTAAAGCCTTTTTGAAGAAAATATATAATTCTTTTATAGACATCAATAAAGAGAATTTATATTCATAAATGCAAAACTAAAATTTATATAGATGCAAATTTTTCCCCCCAAAATCTATAAGTATCATGCAGTCAGGGTAATAAGTCTGAAGTTCAACTGGGCAAATAACAGATAAATAGAGTCTAGAATCCAAAATAATTTTGTTAATATAATTTTAGTAAATATAATAATTCAGTTGAATTTCAAGTCAGTAATGGCAAAACTGAACTATTTAATGAAAAGTGTTGATACAATTGTCCAACAATTTTGGGGAAAAATTATATCTGAGATTCAATTTCAGTAGGATTAAGATTTAAATGTAACAATGGACCTATTAAATTATTGGAAATTTATAAATTAATGTGTTTACTATCTTGGAGTCAGAAAGAACTTTCAGCAAGATTACTAAAGTTTAGTGATAACTAGAAATAGATTCTTGTGTTGCCAAAGTTCAGTCTAGCAAGAGACAGTCCCTTTTTTTTTTTCTCTTTCCTACCTCTTACCCATCTGTCAAGTTTCAGAGTCTGCTGAATGATTATGTAAATAAAGCAATACAAAAATAGTCGAGGTTAGAGGAATTGAGCTCTACAAGTCATATCATTTGTTACAAAGTACTTCAGGTGATATTTTATTTCTAGCTCATATCTTTAGGTCAGAACAGTTGTTTGAGAGCAATCAGATATTCAGAATCTCAGAGCTGGAATGAACTTGAGAAATCTGATAGTATTATCTTCTCATTTTATACATGTAGAGATTAGGAGTTCAGGAGGGGTTAGTGATTTGCCTTACATTACACAGCAGTGGTAGATGAGCTAAGAGTAGGCGCCCCCTCTCCTAAGTCTCAGTTCTGTGCTCCTTTTGTTAGGTTAAAACTAAACCATATAAGATTCAAACTATTATGATGGCAAACTGCAATCCTGGTTCTCAGTTATATTTTTAATCTCCCTAGAGATGACATTTTTCAACCTTTTTCTTTCTGGAATTTAAATTTATTTACACCTTCAATGGTACTTGTTATAAATAAAATAAAAAGAATTATAAAGGCAGCAATTAACTTCTCATGAAAAATCTTCCCAAAGCTCTGCAAGTCCTGTCAGATCAAGATAATGAAGAGAAAGCAGTTTAAATTTGGACCTTTCATTTTCAAGCCACTTTTCCAATTTATCTCCTTGAAACTATCAAAAATATGTTACAATTTATAAGGCAGTACATGCTTAGGAAAAAAATTACATAACCCTCTTCATTTTCACATAAAAATGAGACTGGTACACACAGAGAATGGGAGGTCCAAACCAGTTCTCTCCTGGTAAGTGAATTTTCTTTCATTATATGCTCTTTCCTACATATCTTTGTTAAGCAAAATTGGGGCCTTATAAAAATTGATCTGGCACCACTTCACATAAAAAAGTTCAGGAAGAAAAATGCAGCTGTCAGATAGAAGTAGGCATTTTGAGTGTTCAAGCCTTGCTCTAAGGAACAGTGAGTCATGCGAAATGTAATGTGCAAAGGAAGCTGACATGTAAGAGGACGGAACAATGATGAGTTCCCAAAGACGCGCTGTGGGACAAAGGACAATTATAGAGGGTCTATTTTTGGGTCCTGCAGTATGACTTGAGAATATAACAATTGCAGCTCAAGTACAGAAGAAGGAACTATGTCACCCAGCTTTGAATTTAAGATAAAATAATTTAGTAGCCTTCATTTATCATTAATGTAATTATAGTTTATTAGGGTGATACATGGCTGAATTGTTAAATACGTTGTAGCCTAAAAATAAGTTAGGGCAGGAAATCTACTTTAATTTTGTAAGGAAGGGGGTTATGAGTTGTAATAATAGTTGCATAATTACTATTTTATGTGTCATGGTACTATAATGCCAAATATAAATAAAAAGACGCATCCGTCTGCCACAGTAGTCTTTTTGGAAGCACCAGTGCCCATGTAGCCTGTAGTTAATACGTGGGATTGAAATTGAAGCAGCTTTGTCTAAAAATAATATCAAGAGTAGTTAAAATTTTTAAAACAACTCACCCTCCCCATTTTCCTGTGCCATTATTTATAAATAAGATATTCTTTTATGTTTCAATTATGAGAAAATTTTGCATCCATTCATCGAATATAACAATCAGAAAACAGAGAACTCCACAAAGGAAAGGAATTTAGTTCAAATGAGCAATCTAGCCCTTTTATTTTATAACATTAAACTAAATTTTGTTTCTTTATATGTATGTATAGTTACAGTTATAGTAAATTTTAATACACATTTATATGATGTCTGTGGTTAATATGACTAAATTACTGATATTACTAAATCTGATACAACACATTCAAATTAATTTAACACTCCTTGTCCTCTGGCCAAGAGAACAAGAACATGGGGCTAACTCCACATCCCAAGGAAATATTTTTTGTAAGTTTGAAAAATATCCATAATTCCATATTTATCAGTATTTTTTTCAATTGCTATTCAAGGTTTTCTCTGATTCAGAAACTATACAACATTTGGCGAAATCTTCCTTAATATGGTTAATTTCTTATTATCCTTGGCTTTACTGGAAATCCAACATGTTACTTTCACTAGGCCATGAATGTATGCAATACCTGAAAGTAGGGCCATCCAAAGTTTTGACCGGTGACAGCACAAGTGGTTGGTATATCATCATCGAACCCTGGATGACAAGAAAACATTCTTGTGAATTTGATAATATCATTAGTAAACAGTGGAATTTTATAGAATTTAACTTAAATTTATATACTAGTGTATTTCTCTGTTAAAATCATAAACAAATATATTTTGAATGGTGCATTTGAATGGGAGGTTGGGAGGAGATATATCACGTACATTGAGGTTACCACCATGCTAACCAGGAAGTAATCAAGAACTTTGTTCTTGGCATCTGCTGTCCTAAGAATGGAGATCTCTAAAGGACACACACATGGAGGAAGACTGTGCCTGTTTTACAAGGTTTTAGCAGTAGGAAGGGGTGGAATCTATGTGTGCATGGCTCTGGTCTAGTTACTGGGGTTGCAGTAGTCCCTGACCTCACAGAGCTTATAAAGAGAAAACAAACAATAATCAAATAAATATATAAAAGTACAGGGGTGATAAGTGCTATGAAGAAAAATAAAGCAGTCTTAGGGAGCACAGAGGGAAGGGTATGATGGTGGTATGTTGGATAGAATTGTCTTGAAGAGGTAGCATTTGATCGTTGACCTGAAGTGAGGGAGCACTCCATGCAATGTTCAGGAGAAAGATTGTTCCTAGAAAAAGGGATGACTTGGTCAGTGGTTCTGAGGAGGGAATGACTTTCCTGATTCAAAGTATAAAAAGAGGGTCAACACAGTCATAGTGGAGTGAATGAGGGCACAGGGTTCTCAGGATCTGGTCAGAAAGAGATCCAGAGACTAGAACATGTCAGTAACAAGTTTTAACTCTCTTTAAACATGGGCTGTTACTAACAAGTTAAATTCATCCACTGCTAAACAAAGACTGAACATATACAAATACAGTTTACATATATCTTTTCAGCCTCAAACTAATGTTGCAAACAAGATATAGCTATGGTCTAGTTTACCTTGCTTTGCATTTACACAGTATTTAGACTTGTAGAACTTCAAAAATATCAAATTTGTGTTTTGCAAATAATTCACATCAATTAGCTCATATTGAGATTTGACCATACCCTTATGGACCATCAATTTGCTGTTATGCCTGACAATAATCTGAGTTATTACCAAAGATTTCTGTAAAGTCAATAGGGATATTTATGTGAACACTCAAAAGTATTAATAAAGCTTATTATTAAAAGCAATCTCTTTAATCAAATCTAATATTTTTAGTTACTCTGTAAAGTTACTTTGTAAATTTTACAACTTCACATATTTTAATAATTTATTATATATTATTACAAATTGCCTAATATGTGTTCTAATTAGGATCATGATCTGGTGCTATTAAAGAGACGTGTATTTGCATGACAGCAGGAACTCTGCATATATTTAGAATCTTGGTTTTCTGAAAGTTATTTTGGAAAAATTAGAGTCTCATCAGTCTGAGACATTATTGGCATACTCATACATATGGAATTCAGCAGGTTCAAAGTTGAAGTTTATTTTGACTATTTTCCCAACTTGCTAGAAAATGCCACTGGAAATAGAAATGATTGAGGAGCATTATTGTTTCTTTTTCTCTATCATTCTAGAAATTTCATTTTTCATTCCAGCTGAAAATGCTATGTAAGAATCTTTCCACCCTTTTGGTGTTTTGGACATGTAAATGGTCACTCTGGCTATCAGAAAATTTACTGGTGAGTTAATTGTGTTTTAGTAAATATGTTGCACATTTTAATAAAATTGCAGCATATGTGTCAGAATGTACTTACTACCACTTTCTTCTGAAAAATATCAGTATCTGTAGTGTAGTAAAAATAAATTAATATACAAGAAGAGAGAATACAAAGGAAACATTATAAAGCTCTAATGAAAATGATGATGATATCTACAGAAAACTCAAAGAAAAAGAGCAAAGTTTGTTCAAGTAGCACCACTGATTGAAGTGATTGGACAATAAAATAAAAATCAACTAACTCCTGACAACAAAGAAAATAAATATAGCAAATAAGAATAAAAGATAAATCTTCTTGATGCAGTGTTGCCATGGTGATGCACAAGAATTAAGTTAAAGAAAAAAAATACAAACCTAAGTCTATTCGTTAAGAGGAAATTGAACCTTGAAGAAATACGTTGGTTAAATTCAGCTGGTAATTCTAAAGTCAATCCAGTGTTTTCTGAAATGATGAATTATGTGAAAGACACAAACACCAATGCCTTCTATGATGTTTTGATATGTAAGAAATAATTTTTTACAACAATAGAAAGAGAGACAAAATCACTTTCAGGAGATCTGTAAGCTCCATCAATGATTTTAAATATTCAACAGATTTAAACACATACACACACACACACACACACACACCTGAATGACATTATTCATTTTCTTATCTCCTTTATTTTTCACAGGAAATTTTGATAGATATTTGATGGGGCTTTGGTTAAAGGGAAATGGAAAGTTAGGGGTATGATTCTAGGTATTGTCAATCTGTGTTCTTGTTCATAATGAGAAATGCTATTTATACATTCCCAGTTTAAAGGCAATACAAAATATTCTTTCCCTGGACCACATAACCAAAAAGAAATAGTTCTTCTTCTAAATAATCATAAGCAAAAAATGGCTTAACTATAATTCTACAGTATCAAGTCACTGCTACTCAATTAAAAACAAATGTTTCAGAGGAAAATTTTAATTCGTTTTGCATTCGAAATCACTGTGATTCATAATCAGGGAAATGCAAATTAAAACCACAATAAGATACTATGTTTCACCCAGCATACAGGCAAAAATTATAAAGTTTCACAATAATACACAGTAGTGGAAAGGATATGGTGCAATGGAAGCCTCATACATAGTTGGTGGGAGTATAGATTGGTATACAAACTTTGAAACACTAGGATGTGTAAATCTCACTTGCAATTGCATTCCCTAAAGAAATTCAGATACCTGTGCACCAGGAGATATGTTAAAAAACATGTTCATGACTTCAATGCTTTCAACAGCAAAACTGTGGAAGCAATTAAAATATCCCTTTGGAGGAGAAAAGACCAATACATTCTGGTATATTCATTCAATGGAATACTGCAACAATGAAAAGGAAAAACCACAGCTATACACATTAACAATGATGCATCTCAAGAAGCAAGTCTCCAAAGGATGATCTCACTTTCATAAAAGTAAAAATAAAAACAGCCAAACTAAATAATGCGTTGCTTAGAAACACATACATATGTGGTAAAGCCATAAAGTAAAGCAAGAGAATGATCAGTACAAGTTTCGGGTAATGGTTTACTTCTGAGGATGTATGTATCAGTCAGGGAAGAACATGCCAGACAAGCTGGGTTCTAGGCATACAGGTGTTTATTGATTTAAACAGCATATCTATTCCATATTTAATCTTCTATATATAAGAGATTTAAAACTTATGAAAAAAAATTTTAGAACAGTATGCAGAATATGATTCCTTACTTGCAATCATGTATTTACTATGAATCCATGGATCAAAATATATGAAATGAAATTTATTTGGGATAGAGCAAAGATGTGAGTGGGAGATGGAGCTGCCTCACACAGTACTGACTCAATTTGAAAGTTTACTTCTTTCTGTCAGAATATTAAGATTAGACCCCTCTTAAGATTTCTCAGTTAAAGCATAGTCATGTGAACAATTTGAACACTTAGAATTTTACAAATATGATTTAAATGAACTTATTTGATTTTAGATTACTTTCCTATTCATATAAAGGGAATTTTGGAACACCAAAGATGACTAACCCTTTAATCAATGCATATGCATGTGTGTGTGTGTGTGTGTGTGTGTGTGTGTGCCCCTGAGTCCAATGAAAGTAGAAATGGTCTATAAAGTTGTATTTTGAATTATAACCATGTTCCTCAGACTTTTAAGTCAGAATGATTCAGACATAGAAAATATGCCCCCAAATCACAAAATTAATCATTCATATCCCAGAATTAAATGGCAAAGTGTTATATATATATCTTGTTATTTATGAATACTTCAATGTAAATTTATACTTACTATTTAGTTATTTAAAAAGACAATTGCTTGTGTCCAGCCAGCTGAGACTGATTGGGTAGGTCTGTAATTAGCCAAAGGAGTATCATTTTACCAAACAGCCCTGCTGTAGTATGATTTATGTAGCCCAATTTCTGGGCTACCTATTAAGAAACCATCCTGAGAAACTGAGACTTGCCAGTAGACTCTGCGAACCCTCCACTTTAAAGTGGATTCATCTTGACCAATTTGGTTCAATCCTTAGAACGCAAAGGCAGAGATTACCACCCAGGAGGTGGGGTTGCTTCTCATAACTTAATAAACACTTCTTAGCTCTTATCAGAAGGAATGACACTTAGGCTTAACACTCAACCCTGTTCTTCGAACAAAAGAGCCGATAAAATTTTCTCATCTGAAATTTTAGACCAAGCAGGTGGAAGACATTTGCATACCAATTAAAAGTAGTATCTATTGGAGTAACTATTGTCCATAACCATGTATCCAAAGCATTTTCGTATCTTAATTGATGTGATTCAGCACTGGATTTTTATTCCCTAACATTTCTGGCAAGTAAAATGTCTTATTGAAGCAATTTTTCTTCTTTTATAGCCTCTCCTTTTATCTTCTCTCTCTTTTCCTTTATTCTGCTTACTCCCTTTTTATTTTTCTGTTTTCTTTTACTTTCAGATTTCATTTCTCACTCTGGCTTTATATCAGTCTTTTTATTCATAAGTAATTTAATTTTATTCTTACAGTCATATCTTTCTATTCTCTAGATGAGATTTTTTCTAAATCTTTTCTGTTCTCTTGGTTGACCCTTAACTCTCAAATCTTGTTCCTTTTATTTCTAAACCCATCAGCTTTTGAGTGGATTTCCAAATCCTTCACCTTGCCATCTGTCAAAGGCACTGTCACCAGACCTGTAACAAAGTGCTGTATTCTGAATTTACTCAAGCGGAGCAAAGTTTAGGGTGTGTAAAATTTTAAAAGTACATGTTTTTAAATGTGTGGTTATACTATGTGATACACATACACATGGAGAACAC